TTTCCCAAGAGAGGGGAGTCTAGCAATTATTCGTTCGCCTTTAGACTGTGCATCAGAAACTACAAAATCAACTTCAGTTCTTCTTTCTTGACAACCTAATAGCTGGATTTATGTTAACATAAGACGAAAACTCAGCCGAACTCCTACAGACACTCCAGGTATGTACGAACTTAAAACTTGCGCACATATTACTGGCAGAATGTTCGAGGCGTATCGTCGGCATGTTCGTCCTGTTTTGAAAATACTGTAAGAGAGACAGTTTGGCAGGTCGCTCATATGAAGTTTAACGACAATAAGACCGAGGATAGTACCTTGAGGAATGCCGCGGCAAGTTTAATGTTCAATGCCTATGTTGAGATACAACCGTCCAGAAAACGTCCTCTTCTTACGAAGCTCCAAACAGGATTTGAACCAGTGATGACAGACGTTTCTAACAACATAAACTTTGTAACCTTGATAAAAGGATAGAATTGTCGAGTCGACAGAGTCGAGATTCTTCTTTAGATCTAGAAAAACTACTGAATTAAGGGTGCGTTTAATGGATCGTATTCCGGAATAAAAATACAAATACGTTTTGTGACATATTTTTTCTACCGTGATTTTTGGACCATTCAGAATATTTTAATTCGAGCAGATTTCTAGATATTGCAACCCCTTATGGAATAAATGCTAAAAAGGTGATTTCAAGAATTGATTCCCTTTATTCTTATTCCGGAATACAGTCAATTGACCAAGCCCTAAGTCACCTTTATCAAGATCAAAAGCCCAACTTTCATTGGGCGAACAGATAGCAACCCTGACAGCTTACTGGAAATGGAATAATTATAGATCTGGTCGTAAACTGTTCTTTCAATGACTTTGCTGCAAAAGGATTTATAGACATCGTGCATACGTCTGCTAAGTGACAACTGCTCGCTGGTTGCCTAAAGGATCGCCTTACCCGTAGCTTGCGGGATTTAGCGATCGACAGCTGTCTGCTCAGGTGCTTTCCAGGATTGCTTTTATGTCATTTTTTTAAGGTGCAAAACTGCGAGAAGAATGGGGATAAGTCAAATACTAGGCGATTTCCGAGTTGCCTTAAGCCTCTGTTTCAAAGCGAGGCCAAGTGCGAAGCCATTGACACGATCTCGTCTAAATGAAGCTCATTTTCAAAAGAAATGTTTTGCACTTTGCCTCGTAGTTTATAAACCTAGAGGTCATAACGCAACTTCTACATTACTTTCTAATTACCATTTCTCACTATCCAGCATTACCATCTTTCAACAGCACAAACAAGTCACAAAGCTACCCCCACCAAAAACTGGACACCACTGGCTGCTACAGCATCAAACCCTGTCCCACAGACACCATCATCACCCGTTAGTGAAGATACATTAGCCAGTTTCTGCCCCCACCCTAACACGTCGTACGAACGTTGTCATTCAACTCCTTTAGAAGTAGCTGAAAGCGTGTCGCCTAGTGAAAGCTCTCCAGAGTCTGTCTGTGGCTTTGATGGCGTACTGTCATGTCTTAGTGCTTGTAACAGCTATGACAATCAATCTACTGAGGGGAATGGATTATTGATAGACGGCGTTGCTATGCAGAGATGGTAAGTCCCGTTTGTTCAAGACCAAGTTGTTACCTCGTCCCAAATATTTCTTAAATGCTAAAATTATTTAATTTATTTGTTACTATTTTTTTCGTTATTATTTCCTGGTGATTTGGAACAGAACACGACGCTGTGAGAGCGTATTCCTGGGCGGACAACAGAGTCGTTCGTCAGCGATATAGTTTCACTTCGCTTTGCCTTACCTTACGTTAACTTACATCACATGTAGCCCAACCTTCGAAATATACGAATTTGTATTGGAAAAATTGTTTGTTTCTCTAACCTATGTACATGACAAGCCAGTGAAGGCTTAAATGAAAATGGATTACCTTACTTAAGTTGTCAATTTCTCCTTTCTTGTATGGTCCCGAACTGATTTATGCCGGATTTAAGGTTTTTATAAGAACCAATTTGTTCTCTCTAAGAATATAATGGAGAGGAAGGAAACCGCTTCTAATAAAACCAATTAATGAGCATAAAGCTGCCTGGGACCAGGCGCAAAAAATTCCGCGCCATTCCTACTTTGAACAACTGGCCCTCAGGAATGTTTCTATCCACGAAAATGGTGAAATCTCGCGCGCATCGAAGAGCCCATTGCAGGTACTTGTAAGGTGATGTTACGCGGGACGATTAGCAACGACGATTTTTAGCGAAGCACATCTTTGTAACAGTTGTGCGGGAGTTTCTCGTAACGTCTCTCCTGATTGGTCGCAGAAAACAATGACATGTCATTCTATCAATTGTTTCAGTATTGTTTGGGGTCAGGGTTAGGCACCATTGGTGACTTCTCTTCCGAGCAGCTTCTACATGACCCCTTTGCAATGTTGAAACAATATTGCAACCATTCAAAACAATATCGCAACAATGTTGCAACGCTGTGCTGTGCTAAAAGTTGTTGCTAATCGTCTCGCGTAACATCACCTGTACACTACCATAACATAACGTGCACTCATTTTTTATTTGCCTCAGGGTTGTATCGCACTATGTTCAGGATGACACGTCCTTTGTACCTGTTCAAGACGTAGTCAAAGCTTTCAAAGAGGAATACAATGTCGATCTTAGTTATAAGGAATGCCACCAGATGATACTATCTGCCTTTACCACGCCTAGAAACCGTTTAATTGCTAAGAAAACGGTTAGGGTCTCGACATTTGGGCAACAGTACGTCTACAGAGGAATTGCTCCTATTAATAAAGCTATCTGTCCTTCCGACGAAACAAAGGTATTGTGACGGGAAAATAATTTTTTGTTCAATTTGGATAAAATTAATATCTCAATAACCTGTGAGCAAAGGTTTCTCTCTTGCATAGCTTTATGCGTTAGACAAATTGTTCGCGTGGCTTGTCTTTCACGTAGTTGGTTCGTTACTCTGTATGCTCGCAGGGTAAAATATCCATTTTTTTTGCTTTTGATTTCAGCTTTAATTGGTTTAAAATTCGAGGGACAGTGGTGAGGCTTATATACAATCAATGCTAATTATCAAAGAATAGATACGAATTTATTGTACTCAGGGGTTAAGTTCGTGCCGGTGCAAAAGGTATCCGGTAAAGTATGAACTGGAACAAGTCGACATCGTGCCGGAGCTGTTGGCCGAGAGGGCCTGGTGCACTAAATGTGAATATTTACTTCCGACTCAGTGGATTCCGGTCTCTCCACGTTTGTCACTTCCGCTACGGTCTGAATACCTGTTCAAACTATCCGAAATTTGGCACTCCACTCTCTAGCTGGGCGCGGCGCAGCGCAGCTTTGCTCCGTTTCCTATTTGTGAACAAAAGCCCTATCTTGTATGGTTTTCAGACCGTGTGCCGTCGTAAGAGTTATCCGGTTGTGTGAACATCGCCTATAAGCCCACAGTTAGGTTTCTATCTTAAGCAATTATTGGAAGAATGTTCGAGTAGAACAGGGTGCGGATCCATGAATTATGAGCTACCTGTGCAGAAATCGTGGGATCGGGAGCTGTGTAACACTGGATACTAACTTCAATTAATGACTCGTTTTAGGATCCTGAAGAATCTAAGAGTGATCAACTCAGTTGCCAGGCAGAGAACCCTGCAGGAGAAAACGCGCACGCCTGGAGACAAAAGATCCGGGATATCACAGATGAACGCGATCAGGCGCTTATGGAGCGCAACCAGGCCCTCGCGGCCTTGATGGAATTGGAAACGAAACACGATGAAGCTAAGCAGACTATAGAGAAGTTAAGGAAGGAAATTTTGTGCAAAAGCGCTGCTGAAAAGCCTTCAGAAGCTTTGAACGAAACAAGAATGAAAGAAGGTTTTTGTCTGAGGAGTCCTGCGCAAAGGTTTAGTGTCACGCAGTGCGACGGAAATTGTGACAACTTTTCTAGTGTTGTTGGAAAAGATTCAGACACTGATCTAAACAACAAACACTGTGATTGGTTACTCTTGAGGGAAGTTGTCACGCAAGCAAAGGAAGAGCGTGACTGTTTACTTAAAAGGCTGGAGATTGTCAAGAGTGAAAGGAACTCTTATTTAGATCGATTGCATTCTTTGGAGAAGGAAAACCAACAACTAAAAGATGATGTAGGGGTTAGAAACTCGGAGTTGCCTCAAAATCGCCTCTTGGATGACATTTCACGGCATTTTCAAACAAGATGCCAAGGCGAAAACAACGCGAAAGGAGCACTGAGTTCCGCGCTTTCTCATCTGAAATCTAAAAGGTAAGAGGAAACGAAAACGCCCTTTTACAGTTGTGTTCTCAGTGCCCTGGCCTTTGAATAGAAGCGAGGATGGAGGTGGCCTGGTTTTGTTACAAATCTTCCTAATTTTCACCTGGTCACGGGCATTAAATTTACTGGAACGGTACCGTGGTACTATTTCCGAGCCTGATTTACCTGTGGTTTCAAACCGAGTGCAGTTAGGTACGTGTCCGTTAATAGGTAGCTTAAGCAGAAACGACGGAGACGGCTGCGAGAACGTCACTGAAAAAAGTGAATTCGCGCTGCCTCGAACTTTATCTTGTTTAATTCGTCAAATGTTGGCAAATGTTGAATTCTAAAGGACTGTATCAAAGTTCAAGGAAAGGAAAAGAGAGTTGTTGTCTTGTTTTCCGGTCCTCGACAAGACGTGAAATTTGTTACTTTCACGTCGTAGTCGTGCAACGACGGTTAAGAAATGTACAAAAAAGCGTGCAAAGTTGTTGTTATGTCAATCTAAACCTGTTGGTTTTTGCCTTTCTCGTTGTCGTCGCCGTCGTCGTTGCTCAAGCACCCTAATTATGGGCCAAGCAACAAGGCACCCTCAAAGTCCCGAAAGAACTCACTGATCTTTACAAAATCCTCAAGTTAGCTGTTGATCGGGCCAATAATGAACGAGATACCCCCATTGAGAACGTCCAAAATTTCCAGAGAAAAATATGGACGTCCAGACTACCTTTCCGGTAATCCATATTCAAAGAGGAATACAATGTCGATCTTAGTTATAAGGAATGCCACCAGATGATACTATCTGCCTTTACCACGCCTAGAAACCGTTTAATTGCTAAGAAAACGGTTAGGGTCTCGACATTTGGGCAACAGTACGTCTACAGAGGAATTGCTCCTATTAATAAAGCTATCTGTCCTTCCGACGAAACAAAGGTATTGTGACGGGAAAATAATTTTTTGTTCAATTTGGATAAAATTAATATCTCAATAACCTGTGAGCAAAGGTTTCTCTCTTGCATAGCTTTATGCGTTAGACAAATTGTTCGCGTGGCTTGTCTTTCACGTAGTTGGTTCGTTACTCTGTATGCTCGCAGGGTAAAATATCCATTTTTTTTGCTTTTGATTTCAGCTTTAATTGGTTTAAAATTCGAGGGACAGTGGTGAGGCTTATATACAATCAATGCTAATTATCAAAGAATAGATACGAATTTATTGTACTCAGGGGTTAAGTTCGTGCCGGTGCAAAAGGTATCCGGTAAAGTATGAACTGGAACAAGTCGACATCGTGCCGGAGCTGTTGGCCGAGAGGGCCTGGTGCACTAAATGTGAATATTTACTTCCGACTCAGTGGATTCCGGTCTCTCCACGTTTGTCACTTCCGCTACGGTCTGAATACCTGTTCAAACTATCCGAAATTTGGCACTCCACTCTCTAGCTGGGCGCGGCGCAGCGCAGCTTTGCTCCGTTTCCTATTTGTGAACAAAAGCCCTATCTTGTATGGTTTTCAGACCGTGTGCCGTCGTAAGAGTTATCCGGTTGTGTGAACATCGCCTATAAGCCCACAGTTAGGTTTCTATCTTAAGCAATTATTGGAAGAATGTTCGAGTAGAACAGGGTGCGGATCCATGAATTATGAGCTACCTGTGCAGAAATCGTGGGATCGGGAGCTGTGTAACACTGGATACTAACTTCAATTAATGACTCGTTTTAGGATCCTGAAGAATCTAAGAGTGATCAACTCAGTTGCCAGGCAGAGAACCCTGCAGGAGAAAACGCGCACGCCTGGAGACAAAAGATCCGGGATATCACAGATGAACGCGATCAGGCGCTTATGGAGCGCAACCAGGCCCTCGCGGCCTTGATGGAATTGGAAACGAAACACGATGAAGCTAAGCAGACTATAGAGAAGTTAAGGAAGGAAATTTTGTGCAAAAGCGCTGCTGAAAAGCCTTCAGAAGCTTTGAACGAAACAAGAATGAAAGAAGGTTTTTGTCTGAGGAGTCCTGCGCAAAGGTTTAGTGTCACGCAGTGCGACGGAAATTGTGACAACTTTTCTAGTGTTGTTGGAAAAGATTCAGACACTGATCTAAACAACAAACACTGTGATTGGTTACTCTTGAGGGAAGTTGTCACGCAAGCAAAGGAAGAGCGTGACTGTTTACTTAAAAGGCTGGAGATTGTCAAGAGTGAAAGGAACTCTTATTTAGATCGATTGCATTCTTTGGAGAAGGAAAACCAACAACTAAAAGATGATGTAGGGGTTAGAAACTCGGAGTTGCCTCAAAATCGCCTCTTGGATGACATTTCACGGCATTTTCAAACAAGATGCCAAGGCGAAAACAACGCGAAAGGAGCACTGAGTTCCGCGCTTTCTCATCTGAAATCTAAAAGGTAAGAGGAAACGAAAACGCCCTTTTACAGTTGTGTTCTCAGTGCCCTGGCCTTTGAATAGAAGCGAGGATGGAGGTGGCCTGGTTTTGTTACAAATCTTCCTAATTTTCACCTGGTCACGGGCATTAAATTTACTGGAACGGTACCGTGGTACTATTTCCGAGCCTGATTTACCTGTGGTTTCAAACCGAGTGCAGTTAGGTACGTGTCCGTTAATAGGTAGCTTAAGCAGAAACGACGGAGACGGCTGCGAGAACGTCACTGAAAAAAGTGAATTCGCGCTGCCTCGAACTTTATCTTGTTTAATTCGTCAAATGTTGGCAAATGTTGAATTCTAAAGGACTGTATCAAAGTTCAAGGAAAGGAAAAGAGAGTTGTTGTCTTGTTTTCCGGTCCTCGACAAGACGTGAAATTTGTTACTTTCACGTCGTAGTCGTGCAACGACGGTTAAGAAATGTACAAAAAAGCGTGCAAAGTTGTTGTTATGTCAATCTAAACCTGTTGGTTTTTGCCTTTCTCGTTGTCGTCGCCGTCGTCGTTGCTCAAGCACCCTAATTATGGGCCAAGCAACAAGGCACCCTCAAAGTCCCGAAAGAACTCACTGATCTTTACAAAATCCTCAAGTTAGCTGTTGATCGGGCCAATAATGAACGAGATACCCCCATTGAGAACGTCCAAAATTTCCAGAGAAAAATATGGACGTCCAGACTACCTTTCCGGTAATCCATTGTAAATTTTCAGGTTTTCTAGTGCATGTCTTTTCTTCAATATTTGCCATACACCAAATTGAGGATTTTGTAATGCGAGGTGTACTCTTTCTGGTTATGTAGATCTTGTGTTGATAATCCCATAATAATAAACGGTTTTGTACCCAGTCCTGGTGTGAAAACGGACAATGTTATTATTGGAATAAGGCCCGGTTCAGACGCCGCTCCACTCATGTGCCGAACCTAACGGATGAATTAAGTGCCGGAAAAGCGCGGCGTCTGAGTCAATTTAGTACGGCAGTTTTAGTTTGGTACGCCAAAAGCGTTAAGTACGACAGAGTCTGTCCAACGTTTTTCGAACTTAACTTTGGCTCGACACACGGTGCGCCATCTGAATCAGATGTCACGCCCATATCACTCCAAACTCGAACTTATTCAATTAGGTTCGGCCCATGAAAAGCATGGCGTCTGAACCAGGCCTCGAACGATTTGCCCTTAAAAAGCAAGGAAGTTTGTATTGTAACAAGGTCACCCCCAGCCTCGCTTCGGTTCAAAGCCCAGGCCACTGAACAGACAGCTGTAAAACGGCCTTTTTCATCGGTTGTTAAGGTTGCATTCATTTGAGACATAAGAAGGTTGGGCTGATGGTCCTGTCTTCCTAGAAGAGAGACGTTTGGCTTGGGCAAGGAAAGCTCAGGCTATTTGCTATGTCAAACGATAGGTTAGGAAAAGTAACTGCAAAATACCTTGCACCTCGTAACCAATCATCATTATCATTATCATTATTGACGTTTTACCGTTATAATTAACAATTAGTCGCCCGAGGCGACGTGAATATCGGCGACTAGTCATCGAGACGAAGTCGAGGATACTATTCGCCGATGTTCACATCGCCTGAGGCGACTAATTGTTTTAGTATAATTACATTGATGATTATTCGAGAAAATAAAATTATTGATCAATTTCCGACTCCGAAACATCAACAAATCTGGCTGCCATTTTGAAAACTGCGAGCCTTCAATGTTATAACCACCGCCCGGTGATTATAGCGGGATGAAGAGAAGCTCCTAGCCAATCATAGCGCTCTATTTTCAATAATCATCATTGTAATTATACTAACTATTCTTATTCGCATGGTTATTTTAATTTTTTTTTCATTATTTTTATCCATTATTTTCTTCTCTTTTTATCTGCACTGTACAATAATTACATGCCAACTATGTATTTTCTTCGTAAATAACAGGAAACAGATTTCACCGTCAAGACTAACAAAGTCTCCAAAATATGAAAATTCAAACCTTAACGAAGTACACAAGAAGCCAAACAGCTTAGAGCATCAGACAGCTAGTCAAGACGTCTGCGCTCATTCTCCAATCCCAACGCACAGCGAAGTTTCGTCTCCAGGCAACTTGACTGCTTTTAATGGTGAAAGGTTCATCGACAAAGAAGGTTTATGTAATATTGTTTCTAGCAAGATAAGCAATAACTCTGTTAGTAATAACTCAACAGTTGTGTCGCACGGCGAGGAACAAGAAAGTAATGATGACTTCCTTGTTTTCACATCTGGTAGCGAAATGATCGGTTTTACGCGACATCCGCTCGAGGACTGAAAGAAAGCGGGATATTGTTTGAGGGGACGAAATGACACGCTCTAGGAATTCTAGCGTATTTGATCCTGCGCAATAATATAGTTGTTTTTTATATTATTTTATTTTATGTCATTTTTACTGTTTGACTGTTTTTATTTTGCTTTGTATTTTGGTTGATGTTATTTTGCTTTGTCTCTTTTTTTAGTAACCAAACAACTAAAATTATTGAGAGATGAAAAAAAATTGCCCGAAACGAAAACCAGGTAGAACGACAGAAATGTAGCAAAAAGAATTGCAATGATCGCTCAACAGTTTCTATAACCACTGAAAACAACACAAAACTATTAACTATTAATTTCTTTATTTATTTACGTATTTATTCATTTATGATAAATATTTATTTCAAAGCAAACTGTTCGGCAAATATCTTTATTTTTTTGTCGATTTTCTCACTGTCTTTATTATAAATTTTCTTTGCTTTCTGGTCCTTCATAGTAAAGTTCTTTCAATCCCCAATATTATGTGCAACTTTCCGTGCAACTTTCCGTGTTTCAGTTTTTCACGGAAACCTCCTTGTTAAATGCAGCCTTTTCCTTGAGGAGTCATGTTAAAAAAAAAAAAAAAACACATTACATGATTACACTGAGACCTGATTGGCAAGGGTTTAAACTAATATGATTTTGAGTTTTCTGAAAGACTTGGGAATTTCTTGTTTGTTTCTTTGTTTGCTTTGTTGTTGTTGAAGTTTTTGTGATCTAAGCACTATAATTTTCTGTTGAAAACCAAATATCTTACCATTTGTTTCTTTAATTTCTTTCTTTTTTCATTTTATTTCCTTTTCCTCTCTTTCTTTTTTTTTATTGAAATCAACAACACTATCATTCACATGGCACCCATTTTCTTAAACTGCAACCTTTCGGTGTTTTTTTTTTCCTTCTTTCCTCCCTTTCTTATTTCTTTCTTTGCTCCTTTGTTCCCTTCTTAAATGTTTCTATTTGTTTCTTTCTTTCTTTCTCTCCATATTTGTTGTCGTTTTTTGTTTGTTTGTTTGTTTGTTTTTGTTTTCATCTAGGAAGGCGATGCATTTATGACTTAGTTTGAGCACAGGACACTGCTCTAGACGAGGATGGTGTACCTGTCAATCATCGCTTGCGTTAGTTTTATCGCGTCCCCTCGCCGAAACAACTTAAGATTTTGGTTACGAACACTTCAGTTGTTGAAGTTTACATCGACAACGAAAACATTTATTTTTAAATAACGAAAATAAATGTTTCGTTGTAATCCTTTCGCAGCACGATGTACAAGTATTCTCTAGTTAATGCGCTGACTCCTACGATAGGTTGCACAACTAGTTGTTTAAATTTGTTTTAATGTTTCATTTTCTTAAAAGTCTTTGCGTACAAAGTATAAGTTAAGAAGTTATTGCTTAAATTTCGAAGGTATTCTTAACTTCGTTTTGCGATGTTTACATTGAAATATAGAAAATGATAATTTAATATGTTTCAATTGGTTTATACTAAGTAGTTGTACTGTAATTGTGAAATTTGAATCACGGAACAACGTACATCTAGCCTGCGAGTGGGCTCTTTTTTTCGAGTTCGGGGAAACTTTTTGGCGGTGGAGCAATAGTTTGTGGGCTTAACCCCTTGAAAGCCGGTGTATTTTAAAGGCTCTAAAACAAATCCTTACCCCCATCTTATAAATCAATACCTTTAATCCCACGAAAGGCTATCATTGTCCAAAAGGAGTAAAATAGTGTTGTAAACCGTGCGGCAGCTTGGATTTTAGACTTAAGGTGACTCGATTGGGTTTTTAAGGGCTACAATACCTCCCAAGTTTGAGCATTAACTACTATCCAGGTTCAGGAAGAGAAATTTTTTTTTCGTTGTTTGCGCAGCTTACGCCCTCAAGAAAACGTGAAATTAGCCATTTTTACGTCGTAGTCGTGCAAAAACGGCAAAGATATGGACAAAGAAGTGTGATGCACGTACGCGTGCAAAGTTGTTGTTTGTCTTTAAGTTAATAAACCTATTGCTCATGTCGCAACCGCAAACGCACCATTTTGATTGAAACTCTCCAACCGGATACATCAGGCTCGCGTTAAGATAGCAGTTATAAGTGTAACCGAATGCGCGACAGCCTTAACCTGTTTTTAAACAGGTTTTACCTGTTCAAAGTTTATTTATTCGCTTACAGTGGTTTTTCCGGCTCGACAGAAGAGGCTCCGGCTCGCAGGCTCGCACATTAGCCACCCCCAGTGACTTCGAAGTTGTATAGTTTACAGAAGCAAGTACCTTGAGGAATACTACCACTAGACCAATAGAGTGTTTTCACATGACGTCACGGCGGCCATATTGGTGCCCCAAAACAATGAAACGGCGGCCATGTTGGTGTCCCAAAACAGTCCTATGGGAGTTGAACTCTTTTCTTATGCAAACGCTTTCTTTTGTTCCAATAAATTTGCATAGATGCTAGCCACGTAATTGAAAACGCTCCATAAAAAAGGCGGCTTTTTGTGTACGTAATGTCAACCATGGCAACACTAACATGCTCATTCATACACTTAATTGGAAAGGTCAATCCTCAGGTACCCCTAAAATTAAGCAAAGCTTGCATTTGAAAGAAATTTTAAGACCCTTGCTTTTTCTAAATAACGAAACAATTCATACAAAATACATTCATGTGTACCGGGCGGGGAGGCGGGGGGGAGGAAGGGAGAGACGAGGTATGGGACCGAGAGACGATGTTCTCATAACTTGCAAAGCGGTCACTCTGCGTGGTGGTCAGCGGACAATTGCAGTGTTTTTCCCACAGTAAACATTTTTGACAGTAGCGAGAAGCGAACCGGCAGACGAAATTGTTAAAAAACTGAAAAAATAGTATTATGCATCTTTGTTTTTCTTGCATATCATATTTGTCTTTTGGTACTGAAATTTAGGGGGAAACTAAACCGCAACCGTGTTAGATCTTAACCAACAACAACACGCTCGATCGATTCGTAGGTTACATCGTTTTTGCCGGGCGAGGACATCAGGTCGAAGATTTCTCCGGTCTGAGCCTCTACAAAATTGCCAAACGAGGCTTCAGTACGTCAGATATGGCAATATGGCGGCCTTTTAATTCCACTTTCATTGGAGCTCCCGTGTTGAAGAAACGATTGTTTTTTTTTATTTTTGCTGAATTTTGGACAAAATTTGCAGAATGAAAAATCAGTCTAGGACATCTTTCAAGTAGGACAAGAAACAACAATTACGTCCGAACGACGCACTTAACAGACGACTTTAACGTCTCAGACGTTAAACTCGTCTGGTATAAAGACGGGACGTCGTAAACTAGGAAGTTTGCTAGGTTAAAGTTCATTTTTGGCGCCGCTTTAACTCGTGTCCAGTGTCTTCCGAGAGTAGAGCCTAGTCCTTTTTTCAGAAAAATCTACTTTTTTAAATAAGGTCGTCTACTTTTGTGCGTCCCGTTTTTACACTAAACGCCTTTAACGTCTCAGACGTTAAATGCGTCTAGACTATTTTAACGTCTTTAGCATAAAAACGGCCAATTTCCGCCGCACCCTTACCAAATTGGCTGATTAAAAATATTGTCCCATGCAGCTGTTGTTTGAGAAAGGTGCTATGCGGAAATTTTTTAAGTTATAATTCAGCTATTAATTTTCTTCGAACGAGTGTTATGGGTGTACGTCATGACCTGTTAATGTCACTTGATATTATGCTCCTATTTTCGCTGAAATCTTTCTGTTTTTCAAGAATTATATGTAGCGCTGCACGTTTTGAAAAACGCAGAGATGCACATAAATATTGATTTAACGCAAAAAGCCATGAAACAGATCAAGAAACGAAAAACAAAACAATAGAAATTACAGAGTTTACATGCGATTTCAATTATGTTTCTAATAATGACTTGTTGCTAACAGGTTCCCAACTAGTGTATTAAAAGGCTAAAGTACCTTTGGCTTTATAGCTATAGGAAATGATAGAAAAAAGTTGAGCTGACACTTAGAAGAGCCGGACAGGCGTTTAGAGTGTGTACTGTATCACGAAAATTGGCGGTTAAAAAACTAACTACCATTAGTTCATGGTCTCCCGTGCCCGCCCGACCTTGGTGAATTTATTTCATATCAGTCTTGCTTTTGTCAAAAATGGAAAAAATCAAAAGATTTCTGCGAAACTTTTTGGTATCTTTTTTCTTGTGTATTTTAAAAACTCTGAGTCAGTACAGCAAGCCGTTTCTGCGCGAGTTCTTTGAGAAAGTCCATCAAGTGCGGCTTTAGACGAACCTGAACGGAAACGATTGCCACGCGCTTGCTATATTCTCAGCCCACACTAACATGTTTCGTCGGTAAAAGACAGAGCTTCTTTTTCGTTGCCTTTAGGATTCAAGTCCACACTTAGGTAAATGATTACGGTTGTTTGTTTTGAGAGAAACTACCATGCTAATTCATTGATGGAATAAAATAATAAAATTTAGCCGTTGATACCCCAAAACTTCGTAAGAGCGATTCGATTTGCTCTGGCAAACGGCTTGCGTTTTAAAAGGCTTTTAAATCTAGGCTTTACGGAATCAAAACGGAGGTTATCGAAAACGCATCACTTTTCTCAGGGCCTAATTTTTGACGTGTTTTTAACGATTATTTTGTTTCTCGAGGCTATGAACTGAATAATGTTACGGAGGCTTCAGGGTGATCGGTGGGAAATGGGGCTCAGTTTCAGTCAATCTCTCCTTAGCTTCTCCTTCTTCTTTCTCTTATAACTTTCCCTTTTCGCCCAATGAAATGCGGTTTGACTTGTCTTTTCCTACCTATTGTAAAATACGGCTAAGTGATTCCTCACTTAGCTTTCGGATGTAGATGCTTTGTAAAATGAATTAAAAACCACACGCTTAAAAATTAAGTAAAACACACTCTTTTATTCACTCATTGTACTAGACTTGTGCAGCTTATAAGTATATCGAAGTCTTCTCTTTGGTTATGTGACCGAAAACAGAGAAAAAAACAATACATTGAAAAGTATCACTTAGATAAAGTACATTGTAACAATGATGAATCTATTCATAACAACAGTAGCGTGGATCAATAGAAACAATATAATCATGTTTCAAATGCTCCGCTGACATCACAGGTGAAAAAGAAAATAACGATGAAAATGCAAGTCGTATTAAACTCTGAAACCTAATATCATCACACTTAATAATTAAAAGTTAGAATATGTTACAAAAAACAGCTCCAACATTTTTAAAATTTAATGATTGCTTCTAATCTACTGTTTTTAGTTTGGAATAGAAAGAAATATTTTGTGTTCGTCGTTTATTTTTATATCAGGAGAGATGCATGGGTAAAGTATTTCATACAGTTATGGCAACCTCTTTAAGGTAAATATCACACGTTGAACTCGTATTGAGGACACTGGGTAAATAAACATTTTTTAGGCTTATATCTGCCTGAACAATCAAATGAATAATAAAACAGCGATTGTGACCTAAATTTGAAAATATATATGGGTCACGGGTCAACAGATGATTAATTTGAAGTAAATGATAAATGAGCAAATTCTAAAATTCGTTTAAAGTCAGGTTTGGCTTTTTCTTTTCTTTCTTGTTTTAATTGGTAGTAATTGAGAAAAAAGGGCAACATAATTTCAGAAACAGGTTATGTTCGAGTAAGTGCAGTCCTGGGGACAATGACTGTTCGTCTGAGACTACTGAGTCATTGCCAGATCACAATAATAATTGATAATGATTTTGTCAAATGTTTCCTTAATTTCATCCAAAAAAGCCAGGATTTTTAGATCAAAAAGTTAAGAATATCAAAAGGTTATAATTATAGTCACACTTTATGAAATACAAATTCCTTGTCCTACAGCTAAAGATCTTCTTCCTGCCTTAATGGTTATAATACTCTTCGCCACATTTGATCAAAAAAGTAGCTAAAATAATCGTAAAGTCAGTGTACATAATTTTGCTAACTTCCGTTAGACGAGATTCGAATCATCACTTGGCCAAAAAGGATCCACACATTGTGCTCGTATTAAGAGCACTGAGCGAATGCATAATCTCTTAATATGTGAATATGAAACAAAGGTTTTGACTTAAAACGTTATCTGAGGTGGAGAACGTATTTAAAACCTGCTATAAGCAAAGCAATCTCATCCCTATAGGGTTTCTCCCTTATAATTCTTAAGACTTATCTTGCTCTCAGTAATTTATTAGCCTGCGAGCAAGCTCTCCTGTTTGGGCAAGCGAAGTGTGCCTCGCGAGAATGCGCGAGCGAGGGGCCGCGCGTTCTCGCGAGACTCGTTTCACTCACCCAAATAGGAGAGCTTGCTCGCAGGCTATCAGTAATTACGATAAAAGGCCAACTTGGCAACTTGGCAATTTCGCAAAACAGGTTCGGTCGTTCGGGTAATTAGTCACGATTGTCAGATCGAGTAAGTAAATACTTTTACATCAGTTAATCTTGCAAGACTCTGATATTTGTTGACCTGAGCTGACCTGATATGTGGTGGTTTTAAACGAGAATTCTACCGAAAGGCTAAAAATTATGATCAGTCTTGTTCATTCCTTTCCCGGTCCCTTTCCCTCAGAATAAAATAGTACAACAGAGTCACTTTCATAAGGCCGCCAACTAAACTGAACACGCAGACAGAGACTGTGACGGGCACAGAGTACCACGCGTGGGGCTCTTCCTTAGAGTAAAACACACAGATCATTATAACATTTTCGATCACATTTTAAAAAAAAAGAGGGAGTGCCCTAATTAATAAAAAAGAATTATTTTTTTTGGCGAAAATTTGCGGTTCCGGGGAATACCCTATCAAGGTGATGCGAAAAGATGCGCGGAGGAGATAGAATATGGCCCTGGATAATTTGCTGTCGGGTTCCTGCCAGTGATTTAGTCCTGTTAGTATGATCATGATGTCTGCCCCCCAGACTATGTAAAAAGCCACTAAGACGATAAAGTTAAATACAAACACAGCAATAGCCCACCACTTGAAGCCAACAGTGAAGAAAGTGATGGCCAGTAATCGGCTGCTGACGTGAAATAGCCACGATAAGTAGAAGACAACTGTTGTTATGAACTTGCTGCATTTTGAATCAGTTTTCCTCGCGCCTTCTAAAACAATCATCTTTCGCACACTATCATCGGTAAATGTCCAAGTTATACTAAAGAGAGAAGCACACAAGGAAATTATTTGGGTAGTTGAAACTTGTTCCTGTAGGACAACTATAGCATGTAGTTGGATGATGAACTGAGGAACTGATTCATAGAATGCCTCCAGTCTTCCAAACCAATACGCGTCAATTATTAGCTGCCGAATTTTTTCCCTGTAGTCGTCTTCTAACGTTTCATTTTGCCACAACGTCTTAAAGTTGCTGGAGCACAGAATAAATGCTTTAAAGCGCATATAAGCAAGCGACAGTGGATTCCACCTAAAAAGTACACACGGAATTAAGCCCATCGACCGTTTACTTTCACTCTGTGATAATATCCTCTGCAAATAGCACGGTGTAACTGACAAAATGAAACTCGGTAAAACGACGAACGCAAGCCCCACGCCAAACCAAATCTTGTGATCCTTGAGGTAGAATTCGCGCAGAGTTAGTATGTCCGTGACTGGGTCAACAACAGCTAAAACGGAGACGAAAAGCAGAACAAAGGTGTCATACCATTTCACTTCGAGTTTAGAAATCATTAAGCGATAAACTTCAGCATCATTCCAGGGGAGTTCCATCTTGATAAGCCAGTTTTTTTAACGAGGGAAAATTATGATGGTGTTCTTTACGAAGAGCCTGAGGTTGATCGACTTCCTATGAGCCTCGGCGATGTAACTATTAATGCCAGTTATAAAGCAAAACAGTGGCATGAATTTTCAAATCTTGTTTGACGACTTTTCAAAGTCGTCAAACAAGATTTGAAGTGCTTATATCCGGCTTATAATATAGGCAAATTTTGAAAGAAAGAAAGTGGCAGTTACAACTTATCCTTTTTTTGTAATTATAGTTATCAGTATAGCAGAAACTGAGGTCCATTAAACCGTCGTTTGTTTTGTTTTGTTTTTTTTTCACCCCTTCCCAAAAAGAGTCCAAAAAAGCAATCATGTATCAGAAACTTGACAGACATCTGCAATGCGCAATTAACTTCACAAAGTTTCTCAGAAACTATCAAACAATCGTAGCTTTATCTGGATGGACTTCGTGTTGAATGACTATGAGCAACTGAAATATATTTCAGAAGCGTTTGTCATGAGTAGTTAAGAAAGTTCCTATAACCTATGACTGTTTTAAGTGGATTCCAAAAAGAATAGCCCGTGTACAGCTGCCCGCTGCAAAAGAACTCAGACTTGCGCGAGTCTAATTAACAGTGCGTCTTCACATAAATTATATTGCCTAGATAATGATTAAACACAAATAAATCAAAATCTGAAAAAAAAATTAAATGAGGCTGATAACTTGCCGTGTTGTAAATTGCTCAGAATGTAAAACAAGTGTCTTTTTGTGAGCTCTTTATTCCTTATAAGAAAAACGGATTATTCGCCAACTGAGAGAGATTTAAGCAAGATCACAATTTTCTTACTCAAATTGCCTGAAGGAAGTCGAATTACACTAGATCATTTGACTTAATCACCGGAGTCAATCACCCGAACTAAGTGCGAGAGGGCCGGCGAGTAATATTCATGTGCTCTGTAGGACGAATCTTTTAAAAAACGAACGTCCCTGATATATCTTTAAGAAGACATAACTGAAATCAACATTCTGGGATCGTTTTGAAGAAGATAGAAGAAACACAAATTTTCCTCATACCTTGAAACTAAGGAAGTTATAACTGTCTCTAACTTTAGTAAACACTTCTAGGAAAATGTCACCAACCTCAAGAAGTACTTGGATAACGATTCCAGAATGTCACAGCTTTTTTTATGTCTACATTTTGGACAAGATTTGAAAGGAAAATCACTCTAGGACCGTTTTCAAGAAGGCCAAGAAGCAACGACTTTTGATTAATTTGGTCATTACAATTTTCCTCACTGTTGCCTTGAAACTAAGGAAGTTGTAACTGTTTCTCATTTCAGTAAACACTTCTAACTAAAGATAATAACATAAACGAATCATGCAGCTCCTCAAGTAAAACCACGATTTCAGAGCACCAGTGTATATGTATAAATTGGTCTAAAAATCTTTTAAAATACGCAAGTTAATTTAAGCAAGCTATTTCGAAAATGTTTAACATACAGATTTGTTAAATCGGTCGTCATGCATTAAAACAAAGAATTTCCGCCGCACCCTTACCAAATTGGCCCATTAAAAAATTGTTTCATGTGGCTGTTGCTTTAGAAAGGTGCTTCGCGGAAATTTTCTGTTAATAGTTCAGCTATTAATTTCCTTCGAACGTATAGGGGTGTATTCGTGGCCTTTTAATATTGATCGAGTTTATCACTTGATGTACTCCAGACCTATTTTTCCTCAAATCCTTCAGTGTTTGAACTGAAGAATTATGCGTAGATCAGAGTTGCACGTTTTGAAAAACGCAGAGATACACATAAATATTGATTGAACGCAAAACGCCATGAAAGAGATCAAGAAACGAAAAACAATTAAGCATTTAAACTGCTTTATAGGCAACAAAGTGTAACAGTTGCATGTAACAGTTGCGAATTCGATATGTTTCTATCAGCGAAATTCACTAATAATGACTAGTATTGCTAACAGTTTCTATAAACTAGTACATTAAAAGGTTAAGTACCTTGGACTATATAGGTAAGAATTGGTAGAAAAAAAATGAGCTGACACTTAAAAGTGTTTAGACCGTGTATTATATCAGGAAAATTTCGCGGTTAAAAAACATTCTTAGTTCATGCCAGTGGTCTCCTGCCTGCTGGACCCTGATGGTCTTGCTTTGGTTAAAAAAAAAGGAGAAAAGATAAAAAGATTTCTGAGAAACTTATTGGTATCGTTTTCTTTTGTATTTTAAATCTCTGAGTCAGCACAGAAAGCCGTTTCTGCGCGATTTCGTTGCGGAGAGCCCATCAAAGTGTGCCAAGACGAACCCGAACGGAACGATTGTCACGCTTGCTTTTCTCAGCCCACACTAACATGTTTCGTTGGTAAAAGAGTTTCTTTTTTGTTGACTTTAAAATACAAGTCCACAGTTTATTAATTGATGACGGTTGAAGAAATTACCAAATGCTACTTCATAATAGGAGTAAAGTAATAGAATTTAGTCTTATCAACAGACGCGAGTTGATTAAGTCAAGTTGATACTAGGCCCCACCTTTAGTACAGGGGCGAATTGATTCGCTCTGAGGAATGGCCGGCATTTGAAATGCGGCTTTTAAACCTTGGCTTAACGGGATCACAACGAAGGTTTTCGAAAACGCATCACTTTTCTTGACTTGTTTTAACTATTATTTTCTCTGAGGCTATAATTAGCTCTAGTAAAATAATGTGACGGACGCTTCAAGGTGATCGGTGTAACTTTCCCTTTTCGCCCATTAAAAGGCGGTAATTGACTTGTATTTTCCTCTTATTTTATAATATGGCTAATAAGCCGGCAGCGATTCCTCACTCAGCTTTCGGATGCGAATACATTGTGAAATGACCTTTTAAAAAAGCCACATGCTTAGAATTTGAAACACACTCTTTTATTCTCTCACTGAACTAGACTTGAGTAGCCTATAAGTAATGACTACACATCAAAGTCTTCTCTTTGGTTATGTGACCGAAAACAGGGAAAAGGAATACATAGGAAAGTATCATTTAAATAATGTACATTGTAACAATAATATTATGTGAAGTGGGCCTTTATTTCTGTGAATACCCACTTAACGACCCGCCCCCATTTTTCTCTGGTTTGTCACTAGTATACCATGATCTTCCTGAAAGCAGCTACATGGTGCAAGGATCCTCCTACCTCTCAGCCAGCAAGATCCTTGTACTAGGAAGATCATAGCGTTAGGGACAAGTACAAGCCTGAATACAGAAAACATGTGGCAAGTAGTATAACCTCCGCCTGCTAGCATATTCCTGGTGCTGGGGTCTTCCCGCCCCGAGCCCCTAAAAGTTGAATGTCTGTATAGGAATTTTTATTGTCACTCTTCTTTATCCAAATTACGCAAGATCTGAGTTTTAAAATACATCTCTGTTTTTGTTTTTGTTTTTGTTTTTTACTTTTACCATCATCAGAGAGCTGACAGAGGAGAGGTAGTTTTAGTTGTTTTAACTCTTAAAATCAATGAAGGTAACTGATTTGTCGCTATAAATTGGCAAATTCACAACACAAAATTTGTTTCATTTGCGTCACATTGTAACTTCGTGTCCAACATTTTCTATTACTGAGTCATTTTAAAAATGAATTCTGTTTAAGCCCCCTAAAAGTTAAAAATTTTGTCGTATAGAATTAATCTCGCCATATTTTGAGGTGAATATGATTGTTGGGCCATTCTTGTCACAAAAGGGGTATACGTCTTTTTGTGATAGTAATCATACAGAGGTTTGTTGATTCGCAACAACAAGTTTTAGCGCAACACAGCTTTGCAATGTTGAAACAATGTTGCAACAATTCGAAACAATGTCGCAACAATGTTTCAAAGCTGTGTTAAAAATCGGCGTTGCGAATTGGTAGTTGTGTAACAACACAGTTAATCTCTTTCAGTACACCCTCTCTTAAACGTGAACATAATTTTCTGTACTTTTTTTGTAAGCAGTAGCCGGAAAAAAGCTGCCTTTAAACCGCAAAGATCCCTATTTAATAAACTGATTGTTTACAATTGAAGAAAACTGGACCAAAATGCATCACTGAACGCAGGAGGAAAATGTTTCAGAGTTTTGTTCTTTAAAAGTATCCACTTACACGCGTGCGCACATTGGTTAATAAAAAGGTAAGGAATACGAGGTTGATGTTGTCTAGTAAACTCTAATATGTAAAGGTGGCGTATAGGTGTAAATTATTGCTTTATAAACAGTTTAAAGGTGGGGAAGGTGATCCCCAGCTCCCCCTCCCCTAATAAAATACTCCAGTATTAGGATCAGAATGAAGTATTCTAATGAACTTGTAAAGGCTCCCGTTAACTTATGTGACATTCCTCTCAAGTCTGTTCACACAGCACACTGTTCTTTAGATTAAAAGTGACTTTTATTTGTATATTCAGATTCAGACTCTAGTTTGTTGGATAGCTAAAGACCGTTGTCCGTGCTTTGTTAAAAACAGAAACCCTATTAGTTTCTAAGGCAATTCGTATAAGCAACCTTATTCCCAGGGTCCTCTCCATACTCGACCCTCAGAGCAAGAAAGGGAGACCCTGGTCTGGTCTGCTCTCTCACCCCTCCCCTCTCTCTTCCTTTCTCTCTCTTACTTGGAGGGCTCAGAACGGAGAGAACCCTGGGAACGAGAATGTCTTTTCAACTGGTTTAGCATCTTAAAACCATACCTTACAATAGCAGCGATTTTTTTAATAGGTTATTTAACAATAATTACATTTAAAGCTAGAAACCTTGTTAGGAAACACCGTAAGTTTATGAAAAATTTGAATCTGCTTTTCTTAAGCTTGTGGTGGAGGTGTTTCTTCCACGTACATCCGGGACACCGAGTTCCATCCAGTGACTGCATCAGCAGAACCGTAACTGTTGCAGTTGCCGACCCAGAATCCCACGCGCACAGTGCCTTTGTGGATTTTATCGCAAACTCCCTCGACGTGACGTGGGCGGTACAAATTTTTTAGTCTGCTGCCACTTCCATATCTCATGTAAACTATAGCGTCAATAGCTTCTGGAGCCGAGCACTCTGCGCCATTAAAAGTGAAATACCATCGCCTGCAACAGTGGTCGCAGTTATAGATGCGGAGTAGGCCACTCCAGTAGACACGCAGACTTGTGTTGTCCGACGTCTTCTTGAAAATGCATTCCTGTTGAAAGGAAAGACCAACAAAATTCAAGATTATCAGAGTAACCTTTTAATTTTTTTACCCACAGAGAGACAGCTCTGACTAACTTTAGAGTCTATGGATATCTTAAGTTACGACGATTCAAATTATAGTGGCGGATCCAGGGGAGGGTACCGCGTAATCCGTCCTCCCCTCCTCCCTCCAAAAATAGAGGCCCCAAGGGCAGAAAAAGTATTTTTGGAGACCGTCCTCCGCCCCCTTCCCCCACCCCCCCCCCTTATCTGAAGGTCTGGACCCGGCACTGAATTATACCTCTTCAACAACGCTTTCGTTTGGTACAGTGGGTACAAGGTGGGTTAAACTAACACTTTAATTTGTGAACAAAATCCCACGGTATTACCATTCAGAACTGCCGAGGAGTGCTTCTATGTAAAATCATTTGATTGGCAAGATTTTACTCGATAAAACTGTGATATTTTTGGAAGTCATAAATAATTAAAGAAATGATCGGAGCCACAAGGGCCACTGGTTCTAATCCAAGCAAATTTGCGCGAACAAGACCTTCAAATGAAATTTGTTCTTTTTAAATAAAACCCAAGTACTGACGAACTTTTTATTCTGAGGCCAACTTAGCTTTTACCTTGACCAATCCTGAGTCCCTGGAGTCTGCCAGATTCTTAAAAACGCACTGTTTCCAATTACGTGCAAAAGACCCTGAAGCCTCCTTGGGGCCTGAGGGACCTTGACTTCCAGGAGGACCTGTATCACCCTTCTTTCCAGCTTTACCCGAGAGGCCTTGTGGTCCCTTGGGGCCAGGGGGACCTGCTTCACCCTTGCTTCCGCTTGGGCCTGCTGGACCAGTTGAACCTGTACCTCCCCTGAGGCCTGGAAGTCCTTGTTTTCCACGGGGTCCTTCATCGCCTTCGACTCCTCGTGGACCCATAGGTCCTTCGGGTCCGTTGTTTCCGGGTGATCCCGGTGTACCAGCCGGTCCCGCGGGTCCCGGGCTTCCTGGGATGCCCGGTATCCTCGGTGCGCAGAAGCACGCAGAGTAACCACAAGAGCCATGTTGTGAATTCTGTTGAGGAAATTAAGGGCAGAAATGAAAAGAAAAAGAGAGAAAGAGGTCAATACATTATTCATTCTCTTTGATTTAAAGTTAATGCACTTCTCGGGGATGTTTGTTTCTTAAATGGCCTTTGAAGAATAAGTAATTAAATAATTGACAATTAATATTAATTAATAATATTAATAATAATATTAATAATAGATAAATAAAAGCAGATGTAAGCTAAGTACAGTAACACAAGACGCGTGAAGGAGTCTACTTTTGGCCGCTGACACTCTACATGACTCTCACTGCTTGATTCATTCATTTATATATATCAAGTCCATCCAGTTTGTTCAGTTATTCAAGTTCACTGCTAATGATCATTTTATCGGTTGTCCAACTATTCATTTCCTGTTCATTTACATTACTTCACTAGGGGACTATCCATTTGGATTATAAATTCTACCATTAATTTGTATTATTCAGATATTAATTACAAGTGAAGCATAAAACATGGATAGATATCAAAAAACGGGACGGAATTGAAAACGGCGCCAGATGTTGGGACAATCATTCTGACTCATACTTTTATTGATTCCATTCCATTTTATTCCATTTTTTCTAGCAAATGAATAATGCAATCAACGACCATTAACTTTCTCGATTAATCACTGATATCAAATAAACTCTCGATCATCTGAAATTTAAAAAATCAAACTCACCTTGTTGCTGCTGTTTTTACTGTTCGCAGAACACAAAGGGATCAGCAGTAACGGTAGTATCCATAACATAATGGCCGATGGTATCTTCATACAGAATAGCATGATCGCAGAATCAAACTGTGGGATGAACATATTGTTTAAAAATCACCACAAACACAGTATTTTTAATTCTTCCCAGGGAAAATGAATATTTTTACGTGTATTGGCGTATTTTGCAAGCTATACTAATAATCCTCGGGAAAAACTGATGACTACTAGACAAGGTGTCTTTTATAGTTATCGAATTCTTACTCTTTCGAATAAAAAAAAAACCATCAAAACAAATAGAAACAAACATATAACCGGTTACAGGAATGGATTCTACTTTTTTCAGAAGTTAAGAAATATAGAAGAACCAACACGATTATAATCATCTTTTGATCAGCCAATTTCAGGTGGTTCATGAAAACAGGACGATAATAAACTGAAAAGATGTACATCATCACAAAATAGTCCACTGCTAGTAAAATATCTTCAGTTGAAAAACAAACACAACTGAGAAAAGTTGATAATCAAACCTGAGAGGTACACTTCAAATTGGACATGCCCTCTTTGGACATGCTGAATTACATACTGAACTGCCGATCCCCATTACAATATTTATTACATAATTGCGACAAACGTGATCGCATTATAGAAAAGTATGCAACCCGCTCATTATAGTTTCCTAACGGATATTTCATTTTCACTTAAACACGACTCGAGTTTTGCTCAAAGAGGAGTAAACAGCTAAAGCTAAATTTCGGTTAACTGATAAGAGAAAAAATCTCGAAATGAAGGCAAAACTTTTAAAACAACTGTAACGTTTTTTACCAGCTGAGCTATAAAACTTCAAATATTTATTAATAAGTTCTCGAGGCAAAACGAAGAGGCTACAATAAATTGATGTCTAGGCTTTCGTTCTGGAAAAACTGATTAGTTTTAGAACACACAAAAAAGATCGTCCTGATTTGCACATTCAAAATATTTTTTAACCAAATTATGTGAGGAATTAACGTGACAAGGTTGGATCGATAGAAAACTTACCATAAAGCCTTTGTAGCACTTGCATTGGGCAGGCTTGCCTGAGTAAAATAGACCTGCAGTGTGGAAGACGGAAATAAATGCGATGTCAAAGACATTAAAAATGAAGAGAAATCGGCAAAAATAGAAATGTACAAACCTACCTTGCTAAATTTTTGCCCTTCAATTTCTTCTCAACTACTTACTGGGAGATAAAAGAAAACGAATTCTCGTAGGAACGTCTGGCTGCTTGTGGTTTACCCACTCAGCGACTCATCCAATGATATCGTGTCTTTTATTTTTGCCAAAAAACCCTGAAAAAGAAAATTATTGCCCTTTTATAATTGAAAAACAGTTTGTAATTTCTTAAGCATTATATTGTTATAGCTTACCAGCAAACAGAAAATTAACGTCTTTTAAGATTACCGAAAGTAAACTAAGAGATCATTACCTTCTTTGCGGTTCTAAGCAGCTGTGTTTTGTTATTAAGCTTACCTCGGCCTCACCCTCTAAGAGAGCTTCCTTAAATATTCACTACATACACTGTCTTCTTTCATTAAACAACTTTGTAAATTATATTTTCTCTTTATGTTGACTACTGCTGATTAATTTCCACTTCAATTTCAAGCTGACATAGACCGTTGGTCAGAAAACATTTGCCCAAGATATAATAAGCTTATCGTGGTCTTCAGAATGATTCGTTAATATTCGATATCGATGAACAAAATACCTCCGTCTCAAACCGAGTCTTAAAAAAATTCATACAATAATCAGAGACACTCGTTGGTCAAATACCCTTCTTTCTAAGGTAGGTAGATAGAAAAATTGTAGGCGCTATTTGACTCTTGTCCGCCTTTAGCTGTTGATACTGCACCTTCTTGAATAGCAATAGCTCGCCTGGTCCGATTCCACTGAACGTCTTTGGTCAAACTTTGGTTTGAAAATAGAAAATTTCGAATGGACCACAGGTGGATGGTAGTTTATTTCAGTAATACCTCTTAG